TTTTTTCCCCCGCCAGGAAATACGCCGCGGTTTGCAGTGCCTGCCAGCGCCCCATCGTCCCCTCTGAGGACAAGGACACCTACAAGATCGAGTGCCTGGGACGCAGCTTCCATGAGAGCTGCTACCGCTGCGAGGTACAGCCTCAGCGGGGCTGGGGGCCCCCAAAACTGATGGGGGGGGCACTGAGCCTTGGCTGGCACGGGGTCCACAGCACCCGGGGTTATTTGTTATCCCACAGTTTATCTTGTAAGCGATGGGGAGGGGGAAATAAATAAATCAATCAGGTGGTGGTGGTGATGATGTATCTGGAGGAGACCTTCGGCTTCGCAGGATTTTGATGTAGTTTGTGCTTTTTCCAAGCACTAGTGGGTTTTGCAGGAAAACAGGATGTGATGCAATGGGAGGACCTCCTAAAACATGTTGTCCCTTTCCCCTCTCACCCCTAGAGCTGTGGGATGCCACTGTCCCCAGAGCTGACGGAGGACGGGTGCTACCCCCTGGACAGCCACCTCCTCTGCAAGTCCTGCCACGTCCGCTGGCGGAACGAGTCATCCTGCTGAGACCCTGCGCCTCATCTATCTCTGTCTTCCAGTGCCAGCCACCAGAAAGGGGGTGTTTTGAGGGTGACCCTGAGTGTCTGCTGCACCCCAAAATTCCTGCAGAACTGGTGCTTTCATCTCCAAAATGTACCTGGGACCCCGACCCCCAGGGCTGGCCAGGGGAGCAGCGTGGATGTGTCCCGACACAGCTCTGTGCTCACCATGGACGTGAAATGCCCTCACAGAGCAGCAATGGCAGAGCAGAAGTTTTATTCTTTATTTCTTTTTAAAACTCCTTCTTCAAGGCCAGTTTGGTTTTCTTGGGTGTTTTTTCTTCCTTCTTGAGCTTCTTTGGGGTTTCACTGAAATGTTTCTCTCTGTAGAGAGTGGGCACTGATTTAGTTACTCGCAGTTAAATAAAACCCCGAGTCTAAAAACTCTCATTCCTTTCATCCGCCCTGCATTCCAAACCTATAAAATCTGAGTTTAAAAATAAGGAAAAAAAGCCACTTTTTGGATTTTATAGATGTGGCAAGTCAGGTCACTCAGGTCCATAACAGTTGATTTTGGGGTACGGCTATTTGGCAGACGCCACTGTCACCCGGGGGAGAGCCAAGGTTGTTTTTTGGGAGTGGATTTGGGATTTGGTGATCTCGTGGGGTTGATAAAAGGGTTTTAGGTGGTGATTTGGGGGTTTTTTGCTGGCTGTCTGTCCTGGAGCCGGCAGAGGGCAGCTGGAGCGCAAATTCCTCCATCAGGCAGCAAAACTCCAGTTAAATGCATCCAACAGCCCCGTTTCTGCACGTTTTTCGAGATAATACCACTCTGTCATCGGAAACTTTTTGATCTTCTCTTAGTACAAGCCCCAAACCAGCAGAAATTAGACCATTTCTCTGCACGTCCAACATCTGCACAACCGATGTCGCTGGTGCTCGGTGGTTTTGTTCGTGAGGGCGTTGCAAACCAGGCGGAGAAACATCCCAACTTTCTTTTTAACCGAAAGTGCTTAAAAAGCCACAAATAGAGAGCAGAAAATAGCAAGAGCATGTGAGATGATGTTTAATGCTTTCCTGATGGAAAGAGGGAGCTGTAAACAAAGAAAACCACCACCAGAGCAGCAGCTCTGGGCTCCTGGGTCACCTCCGACATCTCTCTGGCACGTGCTGTATTTATGAATGAAGGGGTTAATGATGGTTAATTAATCACATCAACAACTATTTCCTGACGACTCTTCCCAGTCTACAAAGCCGATTACTCAGCGTTCATTAACGAGCGTCTCCAGCCCATCAATCAGCTTGTAACTCGCTATAAACAAATTTATAAATAAGATGTTAAAGTTGCAGTTTGTCCCGGTCACATAAGTTGGTGGCTTTGGTGGCTTTGGGTCTCGTTGGGCAGGAACCTCGTGTCCCATGCCAGGAAATTCCCGTGCTCAAAGTCAGCTCTCTCTCTTTCCAAAGTTTGTCATTCTGTGGAGAAAACCAGGCATCAAAATGATGCTAAAAAAAAGTAAAAAGATGTGGTGGTGGCCAAAGGGAGTGGGAAAGGGAAGACCCAGGAGTTGCTTGGGTTTGTGCAATAAGGGTATTTTTCCAAGCAAGGTTTTTGGGGAGGATGGAAGTGCTGATGCTGAGAGGTGTTTTGGATGTGTTATTCCAAGCTGTGCTATCCCTCCACAGAGGAATGGTGGGAAGGGGTTGGATATTTCCCCCACAAAGCAATCCAAGATGCGCTGTTGGCAGTGGGACTGCGGTGAGTTTTGGCTGGAGGTAAGCAGGGAAATGCTTTTATTGACATGAAGCCTTGGAGAAGGTCCTGGAAAGCGAGGAGAAAGGAAAGGCACAACTGGAGAGTTTGGCAGTGCAACAAAGGGATGCAGAAATGGTCAGATTTGGCATGTTTTTCCCAGAGTGGAAGACGACAAGGGACAGGGACGGATGGACACAGATGTAAGAGGATAAAAGGTTGATTTAACCCTTTTTCTTCCCGGATAAGAGGAGAAGTGTTACTAGCCGAGGCACAGGGAGCGTCACTATGGAAAGTACAACCTCGTGTTTTCCCTCGGGAGGATCTCGAGGAATTTCAAGCTGCATGCAGGAGAGAGATCCTGCAGGGGTGAGGCTGCGGAATCTGGATCCCGTCCTGCTGCCAAGCAAACCCTCTCCGGCTGCGACGGCTCAGCCCACCCTTGAGCTGCTCACCCTGTCACGAGCACTTCTGCGAGTGCCCAGGTTTGCTGGCAAAAGTAAACGTGGAGCAATAGGATTTTGGGTGGCTGGGATTCCCCAAAACCTTGTGGAGCCCCCCAAGACCACCCAGATTTAAAAACCACTTGAGGTCTCTCATTCCAGTGGCAGTGGACAAGGGCAGAGAGGATCCCACCCCTCTGAATGTCACTGGCTGGGCCCTGCCCTTCCCTTGGCTGCTGGAATAAGCCCGGCAGTCCTTGCAATCCCTCTTGGCAGGCTGAGGAGAGCGGGAAGGACCTGGCTGCCCTCCAAGGAGCAGCAAATGCAAATATTTCTTCACTCCAGGTTGGGTGCGGCCGCGGATAAAATTTCCTCGGGCTTTCCCAGAGAAGGTATCCGATATCCTACTCTGCTGCGAGGCCAAGTTGCTCCCGGGAATACAACGGTGCATCCCATAAGAAACCTCCAAAGATCATCCTTCTTGCAACTTGGACTTTTAAAAAGAGGTTTCAAATTAAATAAGGAGCTGCCAGGCATGGGTGTAGTGGTTTTAAATCAGTGGTTAAAGTGTGGCTTCATAGCAAAAAAGACCTTTTTGCAGGTTTTGTTGGCAAATTGGAGATTTTTGGTGTGGCACGAGGAATGTGAGATAATAAAGGGAAAAGGCTGGAAAGTGCCTTTCCCCCCAGCATCCCCTTGGTCAGCTAGGAGAAATGGGAAAAGCAGAGGGAGGGATGAGTCGTATTCCTTGTGTGCCTTTGCTGTGCCATCATGACTTCCAAGGTGCTGGGAAGGAGCTGGAGCAGAAGGAAACACTGCAGGAAGGGAAACTGCGGCTGAAACAGTGCCCAGGGCTTTGCTGGCTGGAAAAGGCGCTGGGAGCAGGGCTGGGTGCTGGTTTTCTCAAATAGGATGGAAAGAGCTACAGGAAAACAAGGGTTTTCCTTTGGATATCCCAGGTTAATGGCAGCCACGTCCCAGCTGGCTCGCTGCAGTAACATTCTTCCCCACAGAGTGTTCAGATCTATTTCCTGCACTTTCCTGTCACCAACACAACCTAAAAATCCAACATTTCTTAAATGAAAAGCAGTCTGATCCTGCTGGGTAAGAGAGACAAGGGAAAACCAGCAGGGATTATGTTGGGAGCAGCCAAGCCCTAGATTTCTCTGGCTTCATTATGCAGCACAGGTGGGATATATATTAAAAAGAAGAAAAATGCAATATTCTAATATTCTCCTTCCCCCCCCCCCATTTTCCTTGCAAAAGTGAACCACCCACTGATGTAGTTTTAAAGCACATCAGTTTTGATAACACAAGGGGAAAGGGATGCAGAGTGATGCGCAAGCGCGTTACCAGGCTGCAAGTGCTACAGTGGCTTATTTGTATTAAAAAAAAAAAAAAAACCAAAAAAACCCAAACCAACAGATAAAAAGCCCAACCCACCCTATTTCTGAAAATAGACACACAGCACATGCCTGCAAATGGGGTTTTGTCATTTTGTATCCCAGATTTCCTTCATCATATCGGCAATTTACAGCATCCCGCAGCCTTATTTCCTGAAAATTAACAATTTTCACCCAGATTTGGCTTTGAGCAGTTTAAGTTACATCTTTATTTTGCTGGACTGTCCAGTAGAGCCTGTGAGGTGTTTTATTAAAAATCACGGATATTTCTCGCAGAGGTTATCCTGTTTGTCAAGGCGGCTTATTGACCTTGGGGACTCATCGCTGGGGAAAAAAAGGTGGAGGAGAAGGATGATGAGTATATAAATAATGGCAGCTTCAACCCCTGCAAAGGAGAAAAGCGGTGGAAAAGCAAAGAGTTAAGCATAAAATATGCAATCAATATATCATATATAAATACATAATAATAATGTAATATAATAATGTATCTCCTAATTCTCTGGGCAGCTAAACTTTCCCTTACAGCTCAGCCTGGGGAATATACCTTAATCTCATTTATTGGATTGCTTCGTCCGAGGACGGATCTTGTTGAAGTGATCAGGTTCCTGATGGCGTATTAAGGGCAACACGTTTAGTGAAGAACAAGAGAGATTTGTGAAGAAAAAGAGAAATAAATGCTAAAAGGAGGTTTTCGGCTGACAAAAGGAAGCAGCGGCCGGGGCTGCCCCTCACGGCGGCCTCAGGCGCTGCCCCCCCCCCGCCTCGCTTCACAAAATGGCCGCCCGGCGGGCCCGCGGTGTGAGGCGACAAAATGGCGGCGAGCGGGCAGCGAGGGGAAGGATGGGCGAGGGGCGGCTGCGGGGCCGGGATGTTGGGCGCGGGCTGAGGCCGTGCCAGGAGCACGGCGGAGGGGCTCTGATCTTGCGCGAATTCCCTCTGGGCAGGCAGCGAAAGCGCTGCGGGTGAAACCTGACCTTCTTCTTCCCCCCCTCTCCCTCCTCCCCTTTTCTCCTCGCCGCCTTTGCAAAAGGATGTGAAAATGCCCAGAAATGCGCATTTTCACTCGTCCATGGCGGAGCCCTCCATCTCCCCCTCACGCTTCAGCTCCCCCCTCCAGTTCCCCCCCGCCTCAGGCGCCATCGCTGCTTTCCCCCCTCCCCTCCCGCTCTGGCGTTACCCCTAAAATATTGTATCTTTTGCCTCATTTTTGGCCCAGAATTCCGCTTTTCACACGCGCCCCCTCCCCACCCCCGTCCCCCATCATCATCACCACAAGCACCCCAAGGTGGGTAGTTTAATGCCTAATTCTGTTCTCTTGCACCGCTTTTCTCCTTCGCAGGGGTCGGAGCTGCCATCTCCCGCTTTCCTCACGGCATGGAAAATACCCAAACGTGCTTGGGGGAAAAAAAACAAACCAAGGAGAAATCCCCTAACACCCGAGGACTGATTTATCTTCGGAGCCGGAGTGGTGTGGGAAGAAGCCATCGCCGCTTGCCTGCTCCCCACGACAGCTCGCCCGCCATTCGCTTAATTAAAATCATATATTGGTGTGATCAGACGTGGTAATACCATAAAAACCCAAAATCCCGTAACATCCACACGCTCGTTGTTGGAGGCTGCAGCCAAGGTACCACATACGCTTTTTTTTTCTTTTTTTTTTTCTTTTTTTTTAATGTTGCCTTACCTTTTTGTCTGCATCACAGTGTTGTCACAGGCTACAATGTTGCCCCTTCCTTGTTAAAAGTTTCATGTCTAAAATACTGCTTTTTTCCCCATGGAATTACAGATTTAGGCCCATGTAGATGCTCTATTATTTCTACAGATATAGAAATATTTCTATATATTTACTACATACATATATAAATATTCTATATATTGACAACATATTTATATGTATATCTCCTTTTTACGGGGACTGCTTAGAATATAAGATAAACCCACACACCTAAAAACTATGATTTAATTATATATAATCACTGTCATTTGGCCCGTATATATTTTTGATTTTATATATATATATATTACCTTTGTTTTCCTCCATTGGCTTTCTACTACAATGTATCCTAAAAGCAGGAGAAAAAAATGCCATAAAAAAGTAAAAATTAAAAAAGAAAAAGAACAAAAAACAACCCATCTCTTTTTTTTACAGTCCGTGGCGGAAGTTTGTGCCTGAATGTTTTATTTGTTCCACAAAGAGGTAGATTTTCCTTGGGAGATTTGGGGAGGATTACTTTTTAATGAAAAAAAGGAAAAAATACACCAAAAAAAAAAAAGGAAAGAAAAAAACAAACCCCAAACAACCCAATAAAAAAAGAAACAAAAAGGAAAAAAAAAAGCACAACAAAACCACAAAACCAAACTTGTAAGTGAAGCTGCAAATGCAACCGAATAGTCCGGATCAGACAATTCATTGCACAGAAAAAAGAGGATAAATGGAACTGCAATGGCCGGCTTTGCTGTAGATCCGGGAGGAGGGATCACTGCCTTTATCCCACCATCTCGCGCTCCAAACACCACCATTTTTCTCTCTCTCTCACTTTTTTTTTTTTTGTTTAATGTGGTTTGTTGGGGCGTTTTGTTTCCAGCCGAGCGGGGCTGCACCACCCCCGAGCCGGGGCTGCCAGAGCCGCTCAGGGGCTTCACTTTTTACAGAGATCTCTATTTTTTTCCCCGGCCTTGTGCAATCCTCTCCCTTTTATTACGTGTTTTTTCCCCTCTGCGGGTATAAAGGTTTCTCTCCTGTCTCCAGCTTGGCTGCTTATTCCAGAAGCTTCCACGGGGGCGGGGAGCCCCCACTGCGGCGCCTTTGCCGCAGCGCCGGGCAGGAGGAGGAGGAGGAGGATGCGGAGGATGCACCACCTCTCCCTGGCTGGGAGCCTCATTCCAAGCCTCTCCCTCTCACTCCGTTCCCCCAGCCTTGAAAACAGAGCGCTGGGAGGTGTTTGCAACTTGATTTTTTTTTTTAATTTTTTTTTTTCCTAAATAAATGGAAAGCAGAGCTATTGCTGATGGAGATGGATGAGGGCAGGGCTGGCAGTGTGGCCAGGGCACCGATGGCACAAGTGACCTTTCCCAGGCGGTGGGAGGGAGGATTCCCCTCCCACCCCAGCATGCTTCTGCTTGGAATTCATTTTAAATAGCAGGAGTATTATTTTTTATTTTCCTTCCCCCCTCCCCTGCTCCCTCACTGATTTTTTTGGTGGGGGTTTTTTGTTGGGTTTTTTTTTGAAGCTTCCTCACAATCTTTTTTTCCCTGTGTGTGTTTTGAATTGCATTTTAAAATTGCCCAGCTGGAGACAAGGCTTGATTAGAGCTGGAACAATAGCTCCCTTTTATTAATAACGGGAAGGATTTACAATCCTACAGCACCTTCCTTGGAAAGCTTTCCAAACCATTTGCAAACACTCACAAATTTCAGATTGCGCAGCCCTTGGCTGTGAGGTGGGTAAGTATTTTAATGGTGCCACCACCCAAAATCACCTCCGTGGCAAATCTACATTTCTAAGAGCTTAAAAAGATGACAAATTTGGGTTTTTTTAAGGGGGGTGGTGAGGGAGGCTGGTTAAAAGCTGTAACCTAAATCTGTAGATGCAGATTGTTTGCTGCGTCCTGGGAACTGGGCAGTTCTCCCTCCCACCACGCAGCTCTCCAGAGCCAAGCTGTGGATCTGCTGCACGTCAGTAAACATCTGCTTATGGGTTTTTTTTTATTCCCTTTTTTTAATCCATTCCCTTTCTGCAGTCCCCAAGTGACCTCCTGCAGCACTGCCTCCGCTGCAGTTCGACCACAGCTTTGCATTGAAGCACTGATGTGTCTCCCTGGGAGCCAGAGTGACCTTGCTGGGGGGACTGGGCCCACCAGGCAATGCAGATGCTCCTCTTCATCCTAGATCCCTGCACCCCTTTTTCTCCATGCATCCCTTCCCTCACCCGGGGGATGTTACTGTGTTACAGTTGGTAAAGCTGTTTCATGCCTTATTTTTTCTCTCTTTTTTTTTTTTTTTTTATTTTCTAGGGAAATAATGGGTTGTTTGTGTAACCCCTCTCCCCATCAGATCCCTACTAACCATGCAGGGATCTGCAAGTCTCCTGGGCGGTGGGATCCAGCCTTTCCATGAGTGTGGGGCTCCATCCGTGTCCGTATGTGTCGTACACAGGCCACAAAACCCCACAGTATTCCTGTGGTTAGTTCTGTCTGGAGACCATGAGTGGGTCCCAGGGCTTCCCCTTCCCACCACTTGCTGGTTCACAAAGGCTGATGCTTCTGGAAAAAGCTCTGCCTTGTGGCCTTTAAAAAAAAAAAAAATAAATGAAGTGGCACTGCTGGGGATTAGTCATCCTTATTTTTGAAGGAAGCTGTTTGCCAGCGCTGTCCGTATCACGCATGTGCGTGTGAGATGGGAACTCCAGAAGGCTGGTAACGTGCTCTGCTCGCTGCTCCTTGGAGCTGAGCCACCCAGGCTCCATTGAGCTGCTCCTGGCAGGTGGAAAAACCGACAGTCCAGCTTTCCAGACCCTTTCCCTCCATTTTTTCAGGGCTGGAATCTCTGCGTTGGCAGGTGTGGAAACATGAAGGCTGTAACTGCAGTGAGCGAGGATGGATGAGCTGTTTTCTGGGGTCCCATCCAACTCCAGAGAAGAAACTCTGGTGATTTATAATTCTTTTCTTGCCTGTGGTAGATTTTACTCTGAGCTCCGCTGCATCTTGTGAGAAGACTGAGTTTGACCCTTTTGGCTGCTAAAAATGGTTCTGTGTTTAAACATCGGTGCTTTTTCCCTTCCCTGTGGTCACGTAGAAGAGCGAACCGCACAATTAACCAGCACAGCAAAGGGCAGCTCCCTCCCCCTTTCCCCTTTCAAAAAATCCAGAGTTGTGTGTCTTGAACTGCTGCATAGGCAGAAAACATACAAAGCCCTTGTCAGCATTGTGCTGATGTGTGGCACATTAAAAAAAATACACACAAAAGGGGTGGGGAGAGCGGGTGCCTCCAGGGAGCAAAACTGTGGGGCCCCTTTCCCTCCAAGCCAGCAGACCTACGTGCCATAGCCTATTCCTCCTAATTTTGCTCAAGCGAAGGCAGTGGAGGTCGGAGGGAGTGTTGAATGTCCTAAATTGTGTTGGCGAAGATCAGGGTCCCCTTGAACTATATTTTTTTTTCTCTCTGAACTCACTCCCACAATATGCTGCTGGTTTATTACTCCATTCCTTGCTCCCTGGGAAGAAGGAAAACGCTTCTTTACTGGGTGTAATTCCTTTTGTTGTGTCGCAAAGGTAATAAAAGGCACCTGGTGCTGGTCTCTCCCAGGTCACACATGACTTCAAGGCGCAGCTCCCGTGGTCATTAGTGCACAGGGAGTGCTGGGGGTCGTTAGCCCTTAATGAGGGTATCGGCATCAGGATTGCATGGATGCCTCTGGCAGACCAGGCCCTGCCACGCTGGAGCGGCCCCTTATGAGAAATTATTTCACTGCCTGGTTGCTGTAGTGTTTTGTAGCACAGCCATGGCTTTATGCTTTTTTGGCCAAAATTAAGCAGAGGGGGAGGATGAGGTGGCCAGGCCAGATTTCATCCCCTGCTCCCTGCGGTGGAGCTGGTGTGTGGACACCATCAGTAGCTCCTGTGCCTAAAGACTCATTTGTACTTGGAATAAGTCAGCATGGACAAGGATATTATTGTTATTCCCTCATTTAGGGCTGTGTTGGTTTGGAAATACGCCTCGTGCTCATCACAGGGAGGTTCAGAGAAGCAAGAAGTTGGCTGTTGGGATGATTCCACATTTTTCAGCCTGGCACACCCTGTGGGACTTGGAATTACTTTCCTTTGGCAGTTTAGGATAAACGAGTGAGAATTACCTTATGAGTACTGAACTTTTACCACCCTGCAGACTTACTTGAGCTACATCCATGGCACTTCCAAGCTAAACAAAACCTGGATTTCTGGTGCCAAAAAGTGATACAAACCTCCGCTCCTCCTCTGTACGGGAGGAAACCATGGTCTTGCAAGCTTTCCTGTTATCCTAGAGAGTTAAAATGCTGCGCTGTGAGATCTGCAGAGGTGAAATGAACTCCAAAGGCAGATGAGAAACTTCTCCTGTGCTGTGTTGCTGGAGAGGCTTCTGAGAGCAGCAGGTCTTGATGCACAAATATTTCCCTTTGTGCTTTCTCTGGAGTGAAGGAGCGATAACTGCAAGGACACGGGTTCACTCTGCTTCCTTTAAACACCCTCGTGTTGCTGCGGTATCAAAATGGTGTTTGATGAAACAAAAGCTCTGATGGTGGTGGCTCAGTGTTTATTTTGTGCTGGGCGTGCTGATCAGTCCAATGGGGAATGTGGGAAGAGCAGCCTAAGGCTCACAGGTTTGGACTGGGGGTTTGTGTTAAAGCCTTGTCCTGCAACATTTCCAGCCTAATTTCTGTGATTTTTTTTTCCCCTGGGTGTTGCACACAGGAAAAAAATTACATTTTGATGTGAAGTTAATACAACAATTAGGTGTTATAAATGGGAAAGTACAGGATTCAGTGATCTAACCAGTCCTAGGGGATTATATACTTTGCAGTTTTCCTGTTTGGGTATCAAATCACATGGCTTGTTTTTTACATTTGTTTTCTTTGTTTTTCCCCTGAAATGTAATATTTTCCTGCCTGGAAGACCACAGTCCTGTCTATCTGATGAAAGCCCTGGATTTGGGAAGAATCCTTGTCAGATGAGTGGACACTGCTCTCTGGCACATGGTTGTACAGAAGTTGGGGGGCAAGGGGAAGCAGGGCAGAAGCTGGCACGGGGATATCTCTAATTTTTCCCAACAACAGGCAAAAAAAAAGGTATTTATTCCATATATTTGCTGTACTGAAAGTGAGAGGAAGCTTTTTTGCAGTCCTGCGATGGCACCTGGGGTTTGGTTGCATGGTTCAGCTCACTGTGCTCTGTTGCTGAAGAAACCTCTGTTTTTCTGTAGCACAGATTTTGAAAACAGAAATGTGCTTCTATACAGAGATCCAAATGGGTTCAGTGTTAACAGAATTCCAGGGGCTCCTGAGCTGTGTTTACTAGGCTGCAGAAGGTGACTGGTGGCATTTTGTGGCATTTCCCATCCCTAGCACTGTGTGGATAAGAACGCCACGGGGAAGAATTTATTTAAGAAAATAAATTACTAAATGCTAGGTTTCAAAAAGGGAGGGAGTTTTCTCCACAAAGTCATCTTGTCGTAAAGATTTGGATCACTGACCCTAAAAAGAACCCAAATCAAGAGCTTTATTAATCTAAATCCTGTGCTTTGTGTTACTTAAGTCTCCAGAACCCAGCTCTGTGTTCCAAGCGAGAGCCTCTGTCTTGGCAACAAATGAGCCCAAATATCAAACACACCAGTGCCTTCTTGGAGAAAATGAGCATAGAACAGAATGGGTAAGCAATAAAATTAGGCCAATAATTCAGGCTGGCTTAAAAAGGAGATAAAAGCCTAGCTGGGAATTTGATATTCAGCTGCCATAGTGTTCTTTTAATAAATACAGTCAATGAGCAGGGAAGGCACGTAAATACATTTTATCCTGACAAGAGGGTGGCTGGAGCTGGCTGGCTCCAACAAAGAAACATTCCGAGTGTTTCTGGGGGCTCTTGGCTGGGAAACCTCCTGTTTTCCCATAAAAAGCAGAGATACTGGCTGTGCCCTGGACCCTGGTGGGGATGATCATTGTGTGCCCGCTGGGGTGCCGTGGTTTCCCTTCCCCATGTCCGCTGGGAGCACAACACACAGAGCTATTGCTGAGCCAGACCCGAGGAGAGGAAACCTGAGCAAACAGAGCCCTGGTTGCTGTCCTTGCTCAGTATCTAATCTTTGCTTTTGGAAGTGTTCGGCGAGCAGTGCCAGTGACACGTGGCAGCTCCGCCACCTGGGGAAGACACCATGTTAAAAACGGGCAAACTCACCTTTTCAAGGGTTTTTCCTGCTCACTTCTGTTTATTAGTGTTTTCTCCTCAAAGTGAGGCTGCTGTGTACACCCCAAGGATGCTTTCTGTTTCTCCTGCCCCTTTTATTTTCCTCCAAACTGGAGAACTGCTAACTTTATTAGCTCCTTATATGGCAGCCCCGTTTTCTCACGCCTTTAATGGCTCTCTTTTGATCTGTTCTGTTCTTGCTTTGCTTTTCCTCATGTGAACATGGTGTTCAAGCTGAGATGGGTTTATAACCTGCTCCCTCACTAATATATGGCCTGGCACTTTAATCCTTTGCAAGTGCTGATAAGAAACATCCAAATGTGTTAACTACGGGGTTGGCCGAGGCGGGCACTCTGCTACACCCAGCCAGGAGTCATTTAAATTGTCCCAAAGGCTGAAGGTCATCAAGTGATGCAGAGCAGCTCAAGTCTCCTTGTCCTTGGCTGTTTGGCCCCTGGGAAGGGCAGCACACCAGGATGTGCATCCACGTCTCACCCCTGGATGCTCATCATGCTGTCCCTCGTGGCAGGACAGTGGCACGAATGTGTGTCACAAGGGTGGTGTTGGTTGCTGCTGCAGGAGACCAGCCCTTCATCACGGCCCCTTTGCTGAGAGAGGTTTTGCTCACTCTGGTCTCCAGCCTGGGTCTGTGTTCTTTGAAATCTTCGGGCGAGCTGGAGGGATCCGGTTACAGTGGCATCGCTCGTGTGTTGCAACAGGGAACAGTTTCCCCACAAAGCATTTGAAAAGCACTGGGATGGTCCAGTGCTTTGTTTTGCGTCACCAGCTGGGTTTTGTGCTCCTCTTCCAGCTGGTTGTCGTGTAAACGGAGCCCTCCTGGCGCTCCTCTCAACCCTCTCTTCTGTCAACAGAGTCAATGGCTTTGTGACAACTTCCAGCCCCGATGTCCTGTGAGATCACTGGGTGACAGCAGTGACCCTGCTGGAGCTTCCCTGGAAGGACCTGGGAGCCGGCGTGGTTTCCTCATGTCCGTAGGAGATGCTGCCCCAGCAGGGAGGGGGAACAGCTGGAAATGCTGTCGCAGCAAGAACCCTCCATTGGAGAGGGAGAATTCCTCATGGAAAAGGCATTTGGTGCATGGTTTGGGTTTTTCCTCTCTCGAATGGGTAGCCTGTTAAAGGCAGAGACACCTAGGGACTGTTCCTCGTGCTTCCACCAGTTAAAATGGAAAGCTGAGCCCGATCCCACACTGGAAGCACCGGTGGAGCACGTTGGCTCTATCACATGTTTAAATAATAGATGGTTTGGGTGCAAGGAGTTGTTGGGGTTTTTACTTAATCAGTAGATTCCAGTTGGGCGGAGCCTGTCGTCGCTGGGGAAACTGAGGCATGGGGGCAGCCAGGGGTGGGCTCGGAGCCGGGATAAGGCTCGGGGCTGCTGGGCTGGAGTGGCCCTGCGTCAGAGATGTGATTAAATCAAGAGATTTGCATGTTTGTTAAGCCGCGCAGCCCGGTGACTTTGACCACTTGACCACTTGGCGAGGTGGACTTGTTGCCGGGAAGTTGCAGTGTCCAAGGTGGCAAAAGGCAGCTCTGACAAATAAAATGTGGGTTTGATCAATATTAAAACTCAGTCAGGAGACTTCGGCCATGCAAAACAATGAAGTAGGGTCTGCTCTGTGGTGAAAGCAGTGAACTGGCTTGAAAAACTTGTGGGTGCGTGTTTTATCCTACCTCAAACTGCTCAGAGTCTCACAGTGAGAATCTGTTGGGCATTTTCCCTTTGGGGCTAGAAATAGGTGTTTTTATCCATGTGGAGGCACGTTTTGGTGGAAAACAGGACCCTGTGGGTTAAAAAACATCTAGTTCTATGTCGCAGAGCTGCCTTTTGAGCAGGGATGGTGTGACACCAGGCAGGGCAATACTGGCAGCGGGTGATTTCTTCACCCCATCTTAATTAACGAGCTCTGCAAACCCCTGTGGGAGAGCACGGGGTGAATCCTCCCCACGGTGGGAGTATCTTCTGTGCAGTTCTCAGGGCAATGTGGTCTCCCTCATTTAATAAGGGGCACTGACAGTGTACCAATGTTCTGAGCTGGAATTTGGCCGTGGGAAGTGTCTCTGGGTGACACAGTTGCCCCAGTTTGGTGGAGGGGAGTGTTTGGGGCAGCCATGGGGGGCTCAGTGAGCCCCCTCCAGCCCCACTCGGGGTTCCTGTTGCTGTGGCTTTTGGAGCCATCACAGATCCCAGAGCCACGGGGGGCCCTCACGGCCCTCACCTCAGTTAATTCCTTACTTGCTCTCCCAGTGGCCACGAGCTGGCTGTGTGCTCACCTGTGGGTGAAGGTGTTTGTGCCTCAGGATTTGGGGATCCTGATGGGATTTAGGGTGGGGGCTGTCAGTGTGGGGTCAGCAGGGCCCCGTGGCTGG